GGGGCCTGCCGGTGGTGGCGGTGGGTGCGTGCCAGTGCCTGGCGCAGCGGTACGCGGTGCTGGCGGTGGAGGAGGTGCTGGGCCGCCTGGCCCCCCGCCTGCTCTGTCACCTGCTCCTCTCCTGCCGCCCCGAGGATGGTTACGCCTCCTTGTCACCTCCCTGGCGTCCCCTCGAGGCCACCGCGGGCCCGCCGGCTGGGCGTGCTGGCACTGAGGTGAGCGGGGTGACGGGGTGCCATGGCGTGGTGAGGGCGGCACTGCAGGGTGAGCCCTTGGGGACGTGCCTGGGCGGCGGGTCACTGTCCCCAGGGATGGGTGTCACAGCCCTGAGGGTCGTGCTGCAGGGTGTCACAGCCCCAGGGGACATGCTGGGGAACCAAAGGGTGTCACAGCCCCTGGGGACAAGTCCTTGGCTGTCACAGCCACAAGGGGACACGGTGAAGCCCCAAAGGGTGTCACCGCTCCTGGGGACACACTGCAAAGCGTGACAGCCTCATCAGTCATCCTCCAGGGTGTCACGGCCGCAGAGGAGCCACGTCCCCGAGGGTGTGCCATGGCCCCTGGGGACGCGGCGAGGTTGCAGAAGGTGTCACATCCCCAGAGAACGGGCCAGGGTCCCTGAGGGTGTCACAGCCCCCAGGGGACACACTCAGGGGTGCCACCAGGTATAGGACCCCCACGAGGGGAGCACTGAGGGTGCCACAGCCCCAAGGGACGCACGGAGGCTGTCCCAGCCCTGCGGAGGGGGTTCCCGGGGGTGTCCCCACGCCGGGGGTACCAGGGAAGCCCCTGACACCCATGTCCCCACCCCACAAGGACCTCCCCGCGCTGTCCCCAAACCCGGGACCCTGCGCCCTGGGCCCGACCTACTGGTGCTCCAGCCCCGCGGCCGCCCGCCGCTGCCAGGTGAGCTGGGGACACGGGAGGGGGACAAAGGGGACGAAAGGGGGGGCCTGGCCCCTGCCTTGCCCCCCAGCTCACCCCCCCGCTCTCCCCCAGGCCCTGCAGCACTGCCAGGAGCACGTCTGGGCCTAGGGGGGCACAAGGAGACCCCCCCACCCGCCCCCTCCGCCCCTGCCCCCAAATAAC